ACGAGTTCTACAAATCGAAACTCATTCTCGATATTTCGAGAATCACCACTCACAATATTACTATTTATCGATAAATGTACTTGTGTTCACATGAATAACATATATCATATAATATCACATATAATATCAATACATACAGTATTCGGGGAAAATAATAATTTTGGTGAATATAAAATCTTACCCTCAAAGGCAAACTTTGTATAATCTTAATAGCATCCTAACCACCTTGATAAGAAACCTGCATGTGAATCAAATAAATCCAATAATAATAATAAGCGAAGCATATTATTCATTAATCATCATCATCATCAATGTCAACAAACTTTGATTTAAACAAAAGAATTTGGAGAGTAGAAACAATTACCTGAAGTAGAGATTAAGTGAATGAGTTTTGCTAGGATTGAAGAAAACGTACAAATATATTAAAAATCATGAAGAACCAGTAGTGTGAGGGAAGAAGAATGAATGCCAAAGTCTAAAAATTTGTATTTATAGGTGAAAAATAGTAATTCGAAAGGAAAGTATAATAATTTATTTAAAAATATATAGAAAGTAAAGTAAGTAAGGTAATAAAGTTATTATTATTATTATTAGTATATATAGATTAAATTAAATATTAATTGTATATAATGTCTATATATATATCACACAGAATATTTACTATATTTAATTATTTAATTATTCTTTTACTACCTAATTTATATATTATTACTATCAATATATACATCTAATATATAAATAATATCACACGTATATATAAATGACTATATATATAAATTTTTATATCTATAATTATTATTTCAATATATATGAATTTACAAAAATGGTCCTAAGTTTTGGGGGGAAAATTGGTTTGGAGGATTTTACTTTTATATATATATATATATATATATATATATATATATATATATATATATATATATATATATATATATATATATATATATATATATAGATTTAGATGTGAAAGGAATGTTGTGTTGGAAAAATTAGCTTAAAATGACATAAAATGGCATATTAAGTGGTTATTTTGTGGTACAATTATCAGTGGGGTTCACTTTCGATTTGGGTCGGGTCAAAGTGGATTCGGATTCTTCGTAGTAAGACGAAGAGATTGATATATTGTACGCTCAAAACGGATAATGGGTGAATGAGATATTGATTCTCAAAGTAGACCCATTTGAGTTGGGAAATGAAGGGAAAATAGTGGACTTTGTCCCACATTGGTTTGGAAACAAGATTTGCCCCCCTTATATACATGAGCTCTTTTGAACCTTGTAGAATTGTATAGCATAGAGGCTCTCTCGCGCGGGGGTTGGGGGGCGCAAAGATTCAAGCCCGAGCACGCCTGCGGGCACGAATGTCGTCCGGAAATTGGCTGACCTCTCGTGCATCTGTGACCACAAGAGATTAAACTCATTTGTTACGGAATTAATACTGTTTTAATTCTGAGTTTAATCCTACTTAGTGGGTGACTGTTACATGTGTTACACAATTGGTTTTAATACCAATTTAATGGCCATGTTGAATGCTAGCACTCCAACATCCCTATATATAAAGAGAGGTAGAGCAGTAGCATTTTACACAGTACAGAAACGAAAGGAATTCCAGTAGCTTTCAGCTTCTCAAAACTCTGCTTCTACTCTCTTCTTTACCAACCAATGTTCACTGCTTTGTTTTGTTAGCCGGGTTCTTTGTTTAGGTGCATAAACAAAGAATCGTAGCACGTTTTATCCTGAGAAACCTAGGCTACAACGCTCCTAGCACTTGTGGGAGGTAGCAAATAAGGTTTTAAGGAAAAGAACTTTGTGTTCGAACTCGTGCTAAACCTATATCCAAACACTCCACCTTTTCCTTCCCAGATTTTCTGTTTTCCCATATAATATTAATCTTTTCGTAGGATTATTATTTTTTGGATTTTTCAACCATATTACCCAACATGTTGTTGTGTATAGTGGATTGCACTTTCAGTATAATAAACTGTATATTTATAGAGTGTTGATGATTTTAAATATATGTTCAGTTCTATCTATACTTCAAGCAATTGGGTGACATTGAAAAGAGTCAAATACATCCATCTACAGTTGTTATACAGTGGTCTATGGTCCACATATTGTTGTGTAGACCATGATTGTCGAATGAAACTGTAGTAGAATTAAAATGTGTCATTATATATAATGAAACAAATGATACTTTAGTGTTATTATATATAATGAAACTAGTGTGTGGAAAATGAAACAAAAAAATAGAGCTCAAGCAATATAATAATATATATTATCAAATGATACTATAGTAGAATTAAAATGATACTTTAATATTGCTATAATGAAACTAGTGTGGAGGAAAAAATGAAACTAAAAAAACATAACAATATTGTCAAATGAAACTGAAGTTTAATTAAAATGATACATACTTCATGGTCCACGCTATTATATACATCATGGTCCCAGAGTAAAATTTGTTGTCCATCTATTACTCACAAGTACTCAATTAACCTCTTGGGTTTAATTAAAATAAGAATCAATTTGATACATAAACTTCTTAAAATTCTTGCATTTACCATATTTTCAAGTTCCATCAAGTTTTGATGACAAGGCGTCCGGTTAAAGTGATGTGACTAGTAAAATAATTTTTTATTTTTGACATGGTAGCCAACAAAATAATATTTTCTTTAACATGGTATCAATCCATGTGCACCATTATGTTGTGCAACCGTGTGCACCATGTTCTTGCTTCGATAACTCAAAAATAGGAGAGGTTTTTTTAGCAATGAATTTTTATTTCGGAATTGAATCCATAATTTCTATACTATACATCATGGGATAGTTTCCATGATGTGAAGCTGAAGGATCGAACTTTGATGTGGTAAACTTTGTTAAGCCACTTTACTCTTGTCCGCACGCTTTCTTTGATGATTTTTATTTTTATTTTTCTAACTTTTGTTTGTATTATGTATTCTCAAGAACTCGGACCTTATAGAAACTATTGAGTTGGAAAACCTGTTGATTAATGCATGTATTACAATATGCGCTCTGCTGAAGCCAGAAATGAAAGCAGAGTGAAGATTTTACGGTTAGTTCCTGTGCCTTTCAGGATTTCCTTTTCCTCTCATTATCATTAGTAATATGACCATCTCCTTTGGCTTTGCATAAAAGATATGATGCGAAATGGATGAAACATATACATTGGGATAAGTTACACTCCATATTTGTTTTTATTTTTTCAATTGATTTTTCTATGAATGATGACAGAATTAGTACCTCATTTACAATGTTATCCTTGTTTTTTAATTTGGACAGTTTTGGTCCCTCAATTAGTCCGGCGTTAGTCAATTTAATCCTTGTGTTAGTTAATCATCCTAACTCCGTTTACCGCGTGGGTATTATAGAAATTTCACTTAGCCTTGATTATATTAGCTTATGTACTTCCAGTTGTACAATATAATACACATACATTATTCCAAAAGGCTGAACCCCAACCCTAAGAGCCCCACACCCGGCCACTACATACACATACACGGTATAAGGATTGTTTGGTGCACGTGGATCGACCAATGACCATCCTCTCACTCTCTATTCTCTAAGCTTCTTGAATCTTTCCTCGACTCACCGCACACCCACCACTGAATTTCTGGTCATAGATCACTTTTTCCCTCTCTCAACGCCCGCAGTTCTGACTGAATCAATGGCTGCCGTCGATACTAAAATCTACCCTTCCCTCTCCGAGGTAAAACTCTTATCTCTCACTATGTATTTATCTATATGTACAGGCACAGTTTAGTTTGTGATCTGATCATCTGAATTCTGTGGATTTCATTTATAAAATTGGTGTTTTATGTGCTGAATTATGAAATACTGTGCATTTCTGCTCACTCTTCTGTTTGGTTGAATTACGAGTGATGTTTTATTTGTGGACTTTGCGTTGAAAATGATACGCATGGTTAGAGATGATTCGCGAAATTTTACTTCACGGATTCTTATTATTGATCCCGATGTTTATGTTATGCTGTTTTGTTTGGTTTAATTGCTTTTTACTTGCTTATTTATATTTGAATTAGTTGAGATGATGGAGATCACATTTCCTTGTTCCTGCCTTTTTTTGGTATTTATGCCATTTTATGTTTGGGAAAATCTTCTTTCTTATCCTGTCTTGATGTAGGCTGAATATGACAGAACTTGACGTTTTGTACTTAACATTTGATCTTGAAATCTAAAATAATCTACTAACTTATGAATTGTTTTGTTTAAGTGGGTGAGAAAGAGGGTTTTTGACCACAAGGCTTTGGGGTTTAAAGATGAGATTGAATCATTGAAATATCTATTCATTTCTCCACGAGTTAGAGGTTCCTATAATACCCATGTTGTAAATGGAGTTTATGATGATTAAGTAACAGAAATACTAAACTAATTGAGGGACCAAAACTATCCAAATTGGAAAACAAAGATAACATTGCAAATAGGGTACTAATTGAGGGGCTAAAAGTGCGATTTTCCCGAGATAATTTAAGAAAAAAAATCACTCAAGAAATATAGGTATAAATATTGTTGGATAGGGGCAAAAAATAAAACACATCTAAATTTTATTAAAAATTAAAAATATTTATAACAAAATATGAAACATAATTAATTTGATAAAATAATTCGAATAGAGAACACATTATAAATTACACATGTCATTATTTTTTTTTAAAAGAAAGATTCAAGAGAAACTGTAAAATTGTGTTAATGCCAACAAAGGATTCAAACTCGGGACTTTTATTATAACCAAATATATGCTTTACCAACTAATCTATCTCATTTCTTATTAAGATTTATTTGTTTTTTTTTATACTAATACTAATACTAAAATTTGTACTATATATACATATATATACATACAAAAATTATATATGGGGTGGGGATGGGGAGGGGCAGCTGCGCCCCTACCCTTTAGCTCCATCCATGATCCTTCCTTTCCTTACGAATGCGAGTTGACCTTCGCAGCTCGTTCGGGTGTTCGATTGCTTAGTTGTGGGGTTGTATCATATTATTAAAATTATCATTACAAGAATCCTTTCCTACGTAGGTAACGTATCAAGGGCCTTAGAAGACAAGGTTGATCTTTATGTATTACTGGTTTTCCACAGTTGAAATGAGCAGTGAAACCTGTATCCTTGTCATACCACACCCAGCCGCCTCTCCTAGAAATTCCACCATTGCACTTACTGCACCAGACACTAGCCCCCACTGGAAACGAGTAGTATAGCCGCATCAAGGTTCCGTCAACCGCCGTCTCACTTGTGGTTAAAACAGCGCAGTCTACATGCAGGTCATAATCGCAGATGCTGCAGCGGTAGAAAGGGGTGTTGGCTGGAGAGAGGCAAGCGTCGCACATATTGCGATCAGAGGATGGAGGGCGGAGGTGGAGATGGTGCTCAGGGTGAGATCTGTGATGGATTTGAACCTTGAGATCGAGGCAGTCTTCGTCGTGGATGAAGAAGTCGCAAGCTTCACAGCCATGGGCAAATCCGCGAATCGGCAAGCTGCAGATGCTGCAGTTGGTTTTGTCCTGGATTTCGAGCTTGAATTGGTAGAGGGGGTGAGGGTGGGAGGCGTGGTTCATCTTTTCAACGCCGATGTCCGCTGGGTCTCCCCACACAGCAGCCATTTTGGGATGAGGGTCATCCCAAGTACCCTCAATACACACCAACGACTGACTTGATGATGAAGATAAATTTGGGCGTCTATTCATCATATATTTTTATTTCTTTTTTTCTTAATTTAGTTGTGAAAGGAGTGTTGTTGTGTATAGCGGATTTCACTTTCTGTATTATTTATAGAGTGTTGATGATTTGAAATATATGTTCAATTCTGTCTATAAGAGTATATAAGATAAGGAGATAAAGTAAAAAATATGCTCTTATTTTGGACGCAGAATAATTCAAAGCTTTGGGTGACATTGAAATTTACGAAGCAAAACGTCAAATAGGTCTATCTACTACTCACAAGTGTTCAATTAATCTCTTTGTCTTAAATAAGAGCTATTTTGATACATAAACTTTCTAAAATTCTTGTATTTACTATTTTTTCCAGCTTTCATTAAGTTTGATGACATGGTGTCCGGTTAAGCTGATGACGCTAGTAAAATCATTTTTTATTTTTTTTTTATTTTTGACATGGTGTCTAGCAAAATAATATTTTCTTTGACATGGCTGCACTCCATCGAATATAATTCCACTTTCCCAGTGGCGTATCCAGAAATTTTGTCCAGTGGGAGCGAAACATTATAGTTTAAAAAACAATGAAACACTTAAGAAATATCGTCATAAATAATTAAATATTATTCGATATAGGCGAAAAATAAAACACATTAAAACTTTATAAAAGTACTCATAACAAAATATGAAACATAACTAATTTGATAAAATAATTCAAATACTAACACTTTATAAATTACACATCTCATTATTAATATAAAAAAAGTAATATATATATATATATATATATATATATATATATATATATATATATATATATATATATATATATATATATATATATATATATGGGTAATCGCACTTTTGGTCCCTCAATTAGTGCTCATTCTGCAATGTCATCCTTAATTCCCAATTTGAACACATTTGGTCCCTCAATTATTCGACCATTAAGCACATTTGGTCCTTCTGTCTGTATGGCCGTTTAGCACTGTTTAAAGTATGGGTAAAAGTGGAATTTCACATAGCATTGTTTATAATAAGTAGGGAAAATCGTAATTTTGGTCCCTCAATTAGTGTCAATCTGCAATGTCATCCTTAGTTCCCAATTTGAACACAATTGGTCCCTCAATTATTTGACCATTAAGCATATTTGGTCCTTCTTTGAGACCATCAGTTTAACTCCGTTTAAATTAGGGGTATAATTGAAATTTCACATAGCCTTGAATATAATAAGCAAATTTTTTCCCCTTTCTTTGTCTGGTTGTTATTTCCACCGCCGCAGATGCTCCGCCACCGTCGAGAAATGTCTCGGCATCCACCATTTGCAAGTCCACTCCCTACCCATCTTACTGTCAAACTGTTCTCCCCAGCAATAACTCTTCTTCCCATGTCTATGACTATGGCCGATATGATTCTCCGTTTGCAAATCCTTATCCGCTGCGCGCAAGTTTCTGTCATTGATCCAGAAGTACCTTCACCGCAATTCCAAGTCGTTAACCACCACCGCCGTTCGAGCTCTCAAGGATTGCGAGTTCCTCGCCGGTTTAAACATGGATTATCTCTCCAGTTCTTTCAAGACTGTCAACTGGAATTCTCCGTATCTCCCGGTGTTGGAAGCCGACGACGTGCAAACATTGCTCAGCGCCATTCTCACCAACACGCAGACATGTATAGACAGCCTGCAAGTGACGTCGTCGGCTTGGAGCGTTAGGAATGGGATCGTGGCGCCGTTGGCGAACGACACGCGGCTGTTTAGTGTTTCTCTGGCTCTGTTCACTAAAGGGTAGGTGCCGATGAAGAAGAAGGTCGCTGGCACCGGAGCTTGGCGTCCGACCAAGAAACAGCTTGGGTTCCGGAATGGACGAAGGCGATTTTCGAGCGAGTTAGCTGGAGAAAGCTCCTGCAAACTTAGGAAGATGACCAGGTTCTGGTGATTGACATTGTAGTTGTGAGTCAAGATGGGAGTGGAAATTTTACCACCATTAATGACGACGTCGCCGTTGCTCCCAACAACACTCTATTCGACGGCGGCTACTTCCTCGTATACGTGACTGCTGGCGTGTACAATGAATACGTCTCCATTGCCAAGAACAAGAAATACTTAATGATGATCGGCGATGGCATTAACTAGATCATCATCACCGGAAATCACAGCTATGTTGATGGCTAGACTACTTTCAACTCTTACTCATGTGAAATTTCAATTATACCCCTGATTTAAACGGAGTTAAACTTATGGTCTCATAGAAGGACCAAATCTGCTTAATGTCAAATAATTAAGGGACCAATTGTATTCAAATTGGGAACTAAAGATGACATTGCAGATTGAGCACTAATTGAGGGACCAAAAGTGCGATTTCCCATACTTATTATAAACAATGCTATGTGAAATTCCACTTTTACCCCTGCTTTAAACGGTGTTAAACGGCCATACAGACAGAAGGACCAAATCTACTTAATGGTCGAATAATTGAGGGACCAAATGTGTTCAAATTGGGAACTAAGGATGACATTGCAGAGTTGACACTAATTGAAGGACCAAAAGTGCGATTACCCCATATATATATATATATATATATATATATATATATATATATATATATATATATATATATATATATATATATATATATATATATATATAGAACATCGCTCATATGCGGCGGGGTCTTACGGTGCGGCGGTGCGGTCAAATTCCAGAATACACCAACAGTGTTAACAATATGCACCAACAGTGTAATAAAAACACACCCCAATGAAATGTAATAAAACATCACAAAATACACCACAGACTCAAAAAAACACACCATATAACTCACCACCCCCAATGGTGTATTTCCGAACAGTGTATGGTGTTTTTACTCACACCTAATGGTGTGTGTTTGGTGATGCAGGGCTCTGTTTACTCTGTTTTGTGTGGTGTATTTCCTAACGTTGATGGTGCATATTTGGTGAACTATTGGTGTTGCCGCACCGTAAGACACTGCCGCACCTGAACCCGCCTATATATATATATATATATATATATATATATATATATATATATATATATATATATATATATATATATATATATATATATATACACACACACACATATATACATATATATATGTACTAGTCTTTTACGCGCATTGCACGATTGGGATAATGCCCAATATTTTTTTTAAATAAGTACTTTAAAGTATATCAATGCAAAATTATATTGGAATTGTTCATGCATAGATAATTGAATGTTAAATTTGCGTATTTAAATAGACAATTCTAAGTTTACTAATGCAAGATAATATAGTCAAGATTGATTATAATTGTCAATAAAATAATTGTATAGGTATGATTGAAACCAAATACGGGACACAAGGGAGAGCAAATAAAAATTAGGGCATAAAATATTAAATATATACTAATATTGAAGAGCTAACTGCTGATTGCCAAACAAGGACATTGCGAGATAGTTTCCCACTTCAATTTGTTGTGTGATTTGAATACTCTTTTTGTCAATAAATCCCCAAGTAGTTAATATGATTGGCTTAATTATATTTTGTTATTTTTTAAACAATTATTATTATTATTATTATTATTATTATTATTGTTGTTGTTGTTGTTGTTGTTGTTGTTGTTGTTATTATTATTATTATTATTATTGTTGTTGTTGTTGTTGTTGTTGTTGTTGTTGTTGTTATTATTATTATTATTATTATTATTATTATTATTATTATTATTATTATTATTATTATTATTATTATTACTCTTAGGTCATTTTACATGTTAATCTAAACAAATATCTTTTTAACAACCGTTGATATAATTTGCTGGTCAAATTCGCTAGTATAATCCGCTAACTGCTAACTGCTAACTGCTGATTGTCAAACAAGGACATTGCGAGTTAGTTCTCGCTTCAATTTATTGTGTGATTTGAATACTCTCTTTATCAACAAATCCCTCAAGTAGTTAATATAATTGGCTTTATTAATTATATTTTTTTTTTAATTTTTTCATGGTATTAATAAAATACTTGGTAAATAAATATATAACATTATTTTGTATTATAACTTTGATATTTAATTTAAAAATAGTGCACAAAAAAGATAATAGATAATGTAGTGAATATAATCCATTGATGAATTTGAATGTAAAGAATTTTTAAATTGGAGAAATATAAAGACAATATAACTAATAAAATTATTTCTCTTAATTAATTTATTGATAATGAATAATTTTTTTTTAATAAAGAAATTGTAGGGACAATGTAGCGAATATAGTCAATTGATGAATTTGAATATAAAGAATTTTTATATTGGAGAAAAATAAATACAATATAACTAATGAAATTATTTTTCTTATTTAATTTATTGATAATGATTTTTTTTTTTAATAAAGTCATTGTAGATACATAATTCTAAATTAAAGAAATGCATATGTATTATTTTTTGTTGTAGCTACTAAATTATTATTTTAATTTAATAAGAGTAAAATAGAGTACTAATTATGCCAATTTTGATTGGGACGGGGTTCGAACCTAAAACCTTTTTTATTGAAATTATCAATGAGTAAGTTAACGGTGAACTAACAGAAATTAACGGAAAAGATAATATTTAACGGAAAAGTTAACGGATAATCATATTCATTAAGGATAAATTAGTAAAATTTAAGAAAAAATTAAAATCTGATCAATCTGAGCCATTCATTTGATTAAAAAATTTGACCGCCATTTTTTCTACCCATTATAGGCCTAACTCTCTTGGGCTCTTATTAGTATAGTAGATATATATATATATATATATATATATATATATATATATATATATATATATATATTAAAAAAGTCATAAAGAAGTTACAGAAGGGATTAAAAATCAAGAATATTTTGTTAAACAACATGGGATTTTATATTTATATTTATATTTAAAACATGTATATATATACGTATATACATACAAGGACTATATATGAGGTGGGTGTGGGTAACTGTAGGTCCGCCCCTGACCTTCCGACGGAATTGCTTCAATCCACCGAAAAGTGAATTTTTTACTTTTCGGTGGTATGGCATGCATCACTCCAATTCTATCTATAAGAGTAGATAAGGAGATAAAGTAAAAAAAAAATATGCTCTTATTTTGGACGCAGAATAATTAAAGCAATTGGTCGACATTGAAATTTAAGAGGTGGAATAGTCAAATATATCTATCTACTACTCACAAGTATTCAATT